TGGATGTTCCAATCTTCTGGTTTAACCCGAGGACTTTAGTTTTCAATAAATCATCTCGGCAACATAAGGTGTGTTGTGATTATCTAATGATTGTTTGCTGAGCACGTTCTGTTAAATGACTTACTGCTTTTTCCGTGAGTATGATCCTGCATAGAAGCTGGTCTTCCAGACCTTCGGGAGTGACGGCGAAATCTACAAGGCACGTTCTGGCGTAGGTTTCGGGATCGTAGACGGGATCGGGCAGTCCGGTGGCCAAATACAAGCGGAATCCCTCTGTCACGTCGCATTCTCTGTCGCCGACCATCACCTGGAATCGGGAACGTAAACATCCTTCCGTTCAATTACGAAACGAAGTGAATTTCCCTACTTACTTTCGACATCGTTCCCGTTTTTACGAAATTCTTATCGATGATATCGTCCAGAACGGGATCCAATTCTTCTCCCACATCCTCTATTAACAGCGGATAACCGGCGCTCAAGCTCTCTTCCAAACGTCGACGAAATAATTTGTGCCGAAATGACGTTACCTACCGAAAAGAGGAATTTCACAGGCGCCATCCGATCGTTGGACGGGAACGGTAAAAGGTTCTTACTCGGAGGCCATTGGGTTCTTCCTTCTTTTGGATCCAGCGTCGTCCCCGGTTCTGAGGGTCGACGAGAAGAGGGTAACGATCGCATGCGAAAACAATAATGCCATTCTGAACGGACTTCTCGTCGCCGGGAAGACCGTAGGAGTTCCATCTGGCAATCTGTTTATCGATGTGGATTATGTCAATAAATATAGAAGGAAGGCATACGCGTAAAACAAAACGATGGAAAAAGAAAATCCTCTTCGATTCCATGGCATTTTTCGATGAGAAACATAAAAGATAAATATCTGGGATCAGAAAGTGTTAATATAAGCCTATTTGTAAGTCTTCTCGACTACATGTTTTTACCAGTATTGAGGCAGAGCAGCCAGTTCTGTAGAGTTATCCAATCGAATTCTCCAGATGATAGGAAGGACATGACTTTTCTCTTTCCACCGAATTATGAAAAACCCTTTATTTTTCAACAGCCATTTTGATTCTAACACAAGAGATACTTACCAGAGAATCGTCGACCAGAGTCCGGACCACGTCCATGTCCTGGCTGAAAGGAACATCCGATGATCTAAGTTCTTGTCGCCATTCGTCCATCAGTCGGCATCGAAAGATCCGGTCGAAGGGTCCCGAATAGGAAAGAAAGGCCGTGGCCAACAACGAGTCTCCCGCCACTCTGAATCCAAAGATAAGCTTTCGTTAATCGCCTGGCTCCAATGTGTCCCGTCCCATCTTAACCCCAATTACTAGATGGATACAGAATTAAAGAGAAAAACACAGTTCCCTGCGAAAAGCATCATTGGCTCACCTGTTGATGCGATCTCGGAATTGTTCGCTCTGCAGCGACCAGCGCTCAAATTCTCCCGCCAACTCGGAAAGGAGAACGGAGGCGGTGGACGCTTTTCGACGACATTCTTCCGCTCGATCGGCCAGTCTCTGAAAGAATAAAGAATGCCAGATACATAAAGACAAGTAAAATTCGGTTCCAATTATTTTCTGCCCATCTTACAATCCTTACCACTTAAACCCCGCTATGCCTAGCGATGCGGGGAGTATCGATTCCTGTGTAGAGAAATGATGAACCCCAAATGAAAAAAGTCCTTGTCGTTATATAAATGAAGGATTATAGAAACTATTGCAAAAAAGTAATTCGCGCGAATTTTAGAAACAGCTAATGCTATTTGTTCACGCTTCACATAAATGCATAATGATTGAGGATATTAATAAAAATATTTTGAAACGTTATGTTTTATCAGCAAAGCCGTTTAATAATCAAATATGTAAAATAAAAATAAGAAAATATAAGTATGTTAAATCAATAGAAAGACAAAGTTTTCCTTTTAGTGCATGAATACAGTGAAACATGGCTTAAGGATCATAATTCATTCCAGAATCTTACTCGTAATGCAAAACACTCGTTAAGCGAAACAAATTTTCCCATATAAATTAATGTTAAATACGAATAATACGAAATATAAACAGAATTAATTGTTTTATGTACTGTATTTATGTGTCGATCATTAAATGAAGACTAACGAATAGCTAAATGTTTCATTTTGTGAAAAACACTAACGATATACGAACGCTAAACAATAATTAATTTCTGTTTAATTTTGTCAGGGACTCGCGACCTCCGAACCGATTGTAAAGAAATGGAAAAGGTGGAAAAGACTCACCCTCTTTTCGGCTAGAGCCGCTTCGTACTGCGCTCTCACTTCGCTCAACTTCTTCTCCTTTTCTTGCAGATCGGCTTCGACTCGGTTTAGTTCTTCGGTGGCTACTTGCAATCTCTCCTCCTGAATCTGCACGTTGGCCTGATGAGAAATAAACGGACAATGTCATTCTCCATCCGGACTTTTAATTCTATTCCTATCGACTTCTATTCTGTTAAATAGAGCTAAATTAATTTTTGTATAAATTGTTTTGACATGTAAACTATATACAGTATTTTCCTGTCTGTTTTGTATATGTAGCATACACGAAGAATACGTCAGTGAATGAGTTTATTCACTCTTTCGCCAGTTTGCATGCTAGCAAATAAACACTCCCAATGTAGGTTTCCTGTCCTAAATTATTAATAAAGAACGATCTTTTCGAATGAAACTTACCTTCAATGGTATGACTTCTTTGTTTATGCCATAAAAGAAAGCCATGGCTTTGGTCCAGGACAGAAGACCTGCCACGTCGCCGCAAACCCTCCTGGCAGTGTTCATGTTATAATCTTTCTTTTGGAAGTAAGGAGCCAGTAGCTCTATCGTCTCGTCGTCGATGCTGTCTTTGTCGAAGTTCTGCAGATTCTGTAGGAAACTCGTACTCGACATGAACTGCGCGTAGATTCGAAATTCTTATTAATTTATGAAATTCCGGAATTGATGATCGGCTATCGAAAGTGCTCATACCTTGAGCGATTCCTCCCAGGACGGAACGACGCAGTGATGTTCGGTATCTATCGTCACCGGAAGTAATCTTCGATGGAACAGTATCAAAACGCAGTCCATGATTCTCATAACAAGATGAGGAGGATGACTCAGTTTTCTCACTGAGGCTATAAAAATAAATGGAAAAAACGTAAATTTCTCCGCATTTACTGGAAGCGAGCTCAATACTGTATTTTCGTTTTTGTGCTTTAAAAAACATTATATTAATAGATTAAGAGTGCTGAATTGTTAAATGGTGTTGCAAATATCTTCGTTTTCATGCACTCTTGCATTAATGTTTCTTATACTTTGGCAGAGGATCAAATCTTAAATCCACTGTAATGTCTCTACTAATTGCGTTTAACACCTTTCGTTTGATTCGGTCATACTAATTGGCATTCATACTGTTAGGAGTACGTTCCTTTACGACTTTCTAGAATATAATTTTTCATATGATGATAATATCGCTTCTCTTCACAAGGTAAAATGCATTGAGATTGATAGGTTTCGCATGCTTTAACAGTACCAGAAGTGACCTATTATCAAAATCTTGAGAATGAACTCATTAGTGAATAAAATCTTAATACAATTTCAGGTCCACCGATGGCGCGTTTTGGTCTATTCCTGTTAAACTCTCTTATTTAACTGCATTGTATCATATCCTCAAATTTCATTCATTTCGAATTAATATAGAATACCGAAACTTTAAGGACATACCTATAACAAGTCCGATGACAATGAATTGCGATGATGTTTTACAAAAATGGCGCTACCCCACCCTGAAATGCCACTAAACATAATTTAATCTGTAATCTTATTTACAAAGAATATTTCAGTCGAGTGTGTGTAAATGTGAGGTGTAGTGGGTTACCGCCGTCCTAAATCACTTAAAAATAATCACAAATATTTAATCAGTAATAACATTTTCTTTCGGGAAGCTAATACCTTTGCAAGGGAAGATGCTCGTGCCTTTGATTTGGATACTCTTGTAGAGTGGAGTTTCATGAACCACCTTAATTACTCCGTCCCTCTTCTTAGAATGAATGTTTCACGTTATTTCTGAGACATGTTTAGCAATGTAAGCCATGATTCGGTTGTTTATCATTGTGAGGCCAAATATTCTTCAATTAAGAGAATATATTGCACTAGTTTCTCTTCAATTTCAGGTAGTAATATTGTTTTTTTTTTGTGTGTGTGTGTGTATTTTCTGTTGTCCTTAGCTCTGCACTGTTTGAGAAACCTTTTTTCCACTTTGTACAATAAAAATAGCAGCTTTCGTCATCTCTATCCCACTGTTTTCTGACATGTTCACTGAGAATAAAATAACAAGACATCACTCTGTTTATTTATCTATCATGTTGAAAATATCCTTTCGTTAAACCATGAGAAAATAAGCAATTCTTTTTCTTTGTGCATAAATATAGAATATTCCATAATTGTAAAGCTCTTGGTATTCCGTATTTATTGCCAATCACGCTCCACAACTGCACAGTACATAATATTGGCATCAGACTTAATCACAATTGCCGCTAGTTTAGTGCAGACACAACCCATGATTCACAATTTATACAATTTTCCCTACATCATACTTGTTATATTATAAGACTCAGTTAATTAAAATATTGTTTTGGGATATTGTCCTAGGGCAATAAGTCGTTTCTAGTCATTTCATTAAAGTTTAAAGTTTCATTTAAATCTCTCATATTTTGGATATATATATATTTATTTATTTATAATGTTTATAGTGTATGATAACTAACATTATCCCCTTTTAAATGTTTTTAGTTTACTTTAACAAAACTATTTATATGTTAACATATAAATAGCCTTGAATTATTGTAGTGAAGATACTTCTCTAAACTTGCTGACTTTGCTGTAGTGATGGTTAATGAAAAGAAAAATACTTGATTTGCTTGGTTTGATGAGATACGGCAACGCAATACATAAAATATATGCTTAGAAGGTAGGTGCCAGTCGGAAGGATTTTCAATAAAAATGTGGCCCTAGCATGGGTGTTGGACATGTTAAAAAAACCTGGAAAATTCTACATTGCCAGCTCGTTGGGCGGGAGCCAATCCTGGACCACTACAGTGTTCAGAGATTGAAAGAAAAAGGACTTTAGCAGCTGTTTGTTATCAAAGTCTGTAGACTCTTATAGAAGAGGACCACACATCCACCTGAGACCATGACATTTTTGTAGCCTGGTCTTTACGTATGCGATTGTTGTAAGAAAACTCTGTCCCTATTAACAGCTGTTCAACAAGCTTCAAAAGCACAAGTGCTCCCAATAACTTCAGTTAAAAAGCTATTTATATGTGTATTCAGTTTCTCAGATTACCCGAACAAATTGAGATATTTCTAACATTTCTGTAATGGGCATAATACAAAACCTGAATATTTAATAATTAATAATATAAAGTTTTTTTTTTCTTAGCAAACGCATGGGTTTGCACTTTTCCTTTCATCCTTTTAGTAAAAAAATAGAAAAACTAGACTTTTACGGTATTTTTGTGACCTACCTATATGGGTGGGGCGAACGGTATCCAGAGCGGCTTCCGCTTCTCGCAGGGCCGGTCCCGCTTCTTCTAACTTCTCTTCGGCAATGGCTTTGTCGATGCCAATTCCGTCCACCAGAGACTTCAGCTCCTCCCTCATTCGACGGGCCTCTTCCTTCACTTCTTCAGCCGCCCGGGTGCGTTCTGTCACTCGAGCCAGCACCTGCCCCAAGACATTTAAAGGTAGATTGTCGCATATACATATTTCCTCGGTAATGTGAGTAGCCAAATATTGCCTCTCAAGAAGAGACACTTTTCGTACTATCCTCAGCGTTTTTAATTGGTCTATCGTCGTGGCCGATGGAACAGCCAGCAGCATCACTTACCTCCAACGACTCTCGAGTGGTCACCAGCAACTCTTCCTCCGTCCTCGCCAGATTCCGTTTCAGTTCTTCGGTAGAGACAGACGCCTCTTCCAGCTTGGCCACTCCCCGCCGGGTCCGATCAGCTGCCGAATCCACCTCTCCTCGTTTAAGACGGTAGAGACGTCGATAGTCGGATAAGAAGCTCAGAAAGGAACGGGGCGTCACGTGTACGGTTCGACCACTCCTGACAAAAAGACATTTTCTAGTAAAGATTCGCGAAAACATTCCGAAGTACGTCGACAAATGAGAAAGAGATCCACCACAAAACTCGAGTTATAACAGTTTTACTCCTCCAAAAATTCACACTTAGCAGTTCGAAACGAACGGTGTCTTTTACACTGTCTTATTTAAAGGCAGATGCCAGAGAAAACCGTGAAGAAAATCCGGAAAACTCCATGTAATCAGGAAGAAACTCACGACGTGGATCACTCTCGGGCGATCAGAAAGGTCAGAATGTGTAGGAAATACGTTTAGGAAGCCATTAATTTCACGAAATCTCTATCGCTACTGCTGACATTTAACGTATGAAAGTAGAAGGATCAATGTAACTCACCTTTCCAGGTAACGAGCGCAGAGGCTTTCCGTCACTCGATGGATTCCACCCAGGACTTCCGCCAGTCGGGGTCGCGCATCTTCCGAAAGAGGAGGGTCGAAACCGTCTAGACGTTCCAGGGCCACCACCTTCAGGGCGCTATGGGGCCAAGGCCGGAATCCGACAACGGAACACGCCGAGATGATTTTTGGATATCGAGAGGCGTAACGGCGCAATTTCTCTCCCGCCTATCGAGAAACAAAAATGAGAAAGAATCGAAGATGGAGAAGAGGGCGTAACACTCACCGGTGAGAAACGAAGTACAACGTGCAGATTTCTTCTGGCTCTGGACAGGAAATGGTCGAAGACGGTATCCGAGCTGGCCGGATTCCGCAATTGGTCTCGCTTCAGAGATGAAGACACCTCTTGGACAATTTCCGATTTCTCTTCGCATTGAGATTGATAGGTTTCGCATGCTTTAACAGTACCAGAAGTGACCTATTATCAAAATCTTGAGAATGAACTCATTAGTGAATAAAATCTTAATACAATTTCAGGTCCACCGATGGCGCGTTTTGGTCTATTCCTGTTAAACTCTCTTATTTAACTGCATTGTATCATATCCTCAAATTTCATTCATTTCGAATTAATATAGAATACCGAAACTTTAAGGACATACCTATAACAAGTCCGATGACAATGAATTGCGATGATGTTTTACAAAAATGGCGCTACCCCACCCTGAAATGCCACCAAACATAATTTAATCTGTAATCTTATTTACAAAGAATATTTCAGTCGAGTGTGTGTAAATGTGAGGTGTAGTGGGTTACCGCCGTCCTAAATCACTTAAAAATAATCACAAATATTTAATCAGTAATAACATTTTCTTTCGGGAAGCTAATACCTTTGCAAGGGAAGATGCTCGTGCCTTTGATTTGGATACTCTTGTAGAGTGGAGTTTCATGAACCACCTTAATTACTCCGTCCCTCTTCTTAGAATGAATGTTTCACGTTATTTCTGAGACATGTTTAGCAATGTAAGCCATGATTCGGTTGTTTATCATTGTGAGGCCAAATATTCTTCAATTAAGAGAATATATTGCACTAGTTTCTCTTCAATTTCAGGTAGGATGAGAAACATAAAAGATAAATATCTGGGATCAGAAAGTGTTAATATAAGCCTATTTGTAAGTCTTCTCGACTACATGTTTTTACCAGTATTGAGGCAGAGCAGCCAGTTCTGTAGAGTTATCCAATCGAATTCTCCAGATGATAGGAAGGACATGACTTTTCTCTTTCCACCGAATTATGAAAAACCCTTTATTTTTCAACAGCCATTTTGATTCTAACACAAGAGATACTTACCAGAGAATCGTCGACCAGAGTCCGGACCACGTCCATGTCCTGGCTGAAAGGAACATCCGATGATCTAAGTTCTTGTCGCCATTCGTCCATCAGTCGGCATCGAAAGATCCGGTCGAAGGGTCCCGAATAGGAAAGAAAGGCCGTGGCCAACAACGAGTCTCCCGCCACTCTGAATCCAAAGATAAGCTTTCGTTAATCGCCTGGCTCCAATGTGTCCCGTCCCATCTTAACCCCAATTACTAGATGGATACAGAATTAAAGAGAAAAACACAGTTCCCTGCGAAAAGCATCATTGGCTCACCTGTTGATGCGATCTCGGAATTGTTCGCTCTGCAGCGACCAGCGCTCAAATTCTCCCGCCAACTCGGAAAGGAGAACGGAGGCGGTGGACGCTTTTCGACGACATTCTTCCGCTCGATCGGCCAGTCTCTGAAAGAATAAAGAATGCCAGATACATAAAGACAAGTAAAATTCGGTTCCAATTATTTTCTGCCCATCTTACAATCCTTACCACTTAAACCCCGCTATGCCTAGCGATGCGGGGAGTATCGATTCCTGTGTAGAGAAATGATGAACCCCAAATGAAAAAAGTCCTTGTCGTTATATAAATGAAGGATTATAGAAACTATTGCAAAAAAGTAATTCGCGCGAATTTTAGAAACAGCTAATGCTATTTGTTCACGCTTCACATAAATGCATAATGATTGAGGATATTAATAAAAATATTTTGAAACGTTATGTTTTATCAGCAAAGCCGTTTAATAATCAAATATGTAAAATAAAAATAAGAAAATATAAGTATGTTAAATCAATAGAAAGACAAAGTTTTCCTTTTAGTGCATGAATACAGTGAAACATGGCTTAAGGACCATAATTCNTTTACCAATTTATTTCTTATTACAAACTGTTAATCCATATACGATATAATAAATCTAATTTTTAATGGAAAATTTACTGTAAAATGACTAATTTAGAGTGAAGAATCATCATATTAATTGTTAAACAATTCGGAGGATTAACGTGACATTAATACTTTCTCTTGTTATGTGTACATAACAGCCGGGAAAGTAGAAGAAAATAGAATAAAACACATATGGGCGATAAACGGAATGTTAATGTAAATACTTGTATGTTGTGGTTCGGTGTCATAAAATGTTTTCTATAATGTTTATGTTACGTTTGTAACAGGAGATGGGAACATTTTTTTATTATCCCACAATATCGTAAGTAAATTAAATCAATAAACACTAACAGACATTAAAAACTACCTCTACTGACATTCGACTTTTGGTCGAAGTTACAGGCGATCAGATGTGATGCTGTCTTTACAGGCGCTTTCCACTTGTTTGCTTACCAAAGGCGAAAAAATAGAAACGTAACCGAATGCTAAGATTACTTTAACAGTTTAATGGGATGGGTCGGTTTTGGCGCCAATAAATTTGTGGTAAAGGTTCCGGTAGATCCGTTCGTCCGATCGGGATTAGACTGCTAAAAGGAAAAGGCTACTTTCGAGCATCAAAAAGAAGTGGTCTCACCGTGCCCGTCGACAGGATGTCGTTCAAGTATTCCACGAAACTTTCGTCTTTCGAATCCCGTTCAGAAAAGAGGAAGGTCGTCCGTCTGTCGTGAATTCCAGTCGACTTGAACAAATTCTTCATGTCTTCCAGGAAGTTGCCAGGACCGTAGTTTCTAGACGAGAGAAAACAGGAAACCAAATGATTTCGGGACGAAAATTCTAAGTTAAAGGATAGTGGCTTTCCTCCAGGAACGATTCGTCCTTAATCGCTTTAATTAAGAAATGAAAATGGCAAAATCTATTTTCAGTAGGCCAAAAACAAATACACAGAAGAAAACAACTCGTAACTAGATTAAATGAAGATTAAGTAAAGGTCATCCTGGAGGAAACAAACTGTATTTACACATTTTATTCAGTAAAAAAGATCTAATTCATTCAGTAAATCTATGGAAGCTATTAGTATTTTTACAGAAATATTTTCAACAGAGAAAAGAAAACTCACCCGGTAGGAACGATCCGAAAAATTTGATAATCTGCCAAGAAACAGGCCAGTTTAGTCAGCGACTGTTTTCCCGATCCTCCCACTCCCACCAATAGAGCGTTCTCCCCGGGCATCCTTATGATTCTCGAGATCTACATATAGAAAATAAAATAAAAATTACCGTAAAATACAAGCTCAAAGAATTCGATCCAAACCCCAAGCTTTTGTGTAGAAATCCCCTTTACGAACAGAATTCCGTATAAAGGAGAATTTACGTTACAGTTGTCTGAACCGTTAGGCCACGTCTTCTTATGGTATCGATCATTCATAAAATGATAAAGGTTTTGTGAATATTAATTAATTAGCGTTTCACGGAAGCGCTATTTAGTATTTCCCGGAAAATACAGGGGAAATTTAAATTCAGTTTTAAAAGTAAACCGAAAGTCGTCTGTTTGGTTGGAAAGTTGTCTTTCTGTTAGGCAACTCAGCATGTATAAAGTCTTCCCAGGAGGCATCCTCCTGGGAAGACTTTATACGAAAAACAGGCCCTTATTTGGTGTTATTATTTTGAAGTAAACCCGAAAAATTCTACCTGGTCAGCCCGTTGGAGGGGCTCAAACCCGGGACCTATTACCAGTGGTTTTATCCACTCGGCACTGATGGGCACGACAAAGTGTGAACTGAAAAGTGACGTCTTCCTCAATTGTTTTCACTTCCTTATATTAATAAAAATCAGGATCTGCATCTTTCTATTCACACGACAAATAGTTTGGTTTTCTGCATTTGTCTGTTTCCTATATGGTTTTAGATGTCTAATAGGATCTATGATAGTGGTTGATAGTTGGTTACAATGACATCACACATATTAAAATAAAACGAAGACACCTATGAGATAAAGTTATTAACACAAAGTTATAAAGAACTTTAACTTTATAACAAAGCTAATAATACGAATGGTGACAAATGTAAAAAATTTAAATCACAGTAATAATATGCAAAAACGTTTTCTGTAATACTATTGGATACCAGCGGAGATACTTGGCAGCAACCAGAAGTGACAATGACAGCTGAAGCAAGTGATTTCTGTTCAAACGACAAAGGATGTTTGTCAATACGATGCAGAATATTAGAAATTCCTAGAAGATAATGTGTCGTAACATCTCATCTGCAGCTGAGTGCAAGAACTGCTAAAGTGCACAAGGCTGACTATTCGTTAAAATATTTTGTACAACAGGATGTCTTGAAAACAGGAACTTCGATGGTTGTCAATAGTGTTATACTGGACTCAATAACAGGCTAAACAACTGACTGATTGTAATATTTAAGTTAAGTTAGTTTTTAATTAAGTTAAGTACTTTTATTTTGTTTATTTTAAATATGTATAAATGTATAAATATATCTGCTTATTTCATTCTTCTTAGAGGGACAAACGGGGCGTCGGTAAAAAAAAAAAATAGAAAATGCGAAGACTTACCGAAAACGCGATCCAGGCAGTCGTCGGTGGGGACCATAATATGTAACTGTACAGGAAAACTCTCAGCTATGTATCATACGGTGCTGAGAATGCACCAATTGGTGCTAAATAAAGAATATTGAGTATTGAGTATTCACACGACACACTGTTTGGTTTTGTCATCAATCGTATTCGTCCTAACTTCATAACTTTGGCTATTTTTCTGCATAAAAATCTATTATAGAACACAGTAGTCCTCAATATTAATGATGATAATTTTTAAAAAGTAGCCTTCAACATAAAGAACGAAAAAAAATAAGTTATAGTAAAAAACTGGAAAACTAAAGAATGAATTATCTCCGAAAGTTTCAAGGAACAATAATGTCAATTGCAGTATTGGCACTACAATGTCTTATTCGAAAAATGTTCGTACACGTTGCCCGAAGATCGCCGCATTTCACAAATAAAGTCGTTATGTATTCGCATTATGACCCGCTGTCAGCAGCTGGTCTAAAAGGGCAACGAAGATAGTTTCTTACCTTAAGCAAATCGACGACGGATCTCTGGAAGAAGACCAGATCCATTCCCGTTCCCCGAACAGAATCGTTGTAGGCGGCCAAAGCCGTCTTCAGTCTCTCTTCCAGGGTCCTGAAACACCGCACCTGTAACATTCCATCTCTCTTTCACTCTCTCGTTTTCTTAAGGGTTAATTAAGAATTTTAAATCAAAATTTAAAATGTCAGCTGTAAAAAAGAAAAAAAAAATTCTCCCTTACCTACGATTTCCGGGAAAACTCGACTTACCGGTTCGTACAGACCGGAGGTCTCTGTCTCGGTCCGATCTTCCCAACATCCTTCCGCTGTCTCCCTGTCCGTGGCGGAGAAAACAAGACGAAATTAAAAGTGAGAAAGGAAGCGCCGGTCTGAATAGCATCCAATTACCCCAGAAAGTGGGCGAAGTAAGTGTCCTCTGGCAGATCTCGCAGTAGAGTCTCCGGCAGTCCCTCGGACACTCGGCGTAGCGCGTCCGAGAAGTCGTAGTCTTCCTCGGACCCGGTCCACCTGTTCAACAAAACGATCGAAACAAAATGTTACGTAATCGAATTCACGGTTAAACGTGCCAAAAGATAGGTTTATCGATGACGTCGAGTCTTACGGTACCCGAAGGTCCACGGGTGGAAAAAAGCAATCTCGATTGTAGCATATACAAGTCGACCCCCCTATAACACTGTTGATTATTCCGTTTTATGTGAATTCCATGTTGTACGAGTCACTTAGATTTTACAAATACGTGAGCCGTTTACAGCCCGGCACACGTATTTGTAAAATCTAAGTGACTCGTACAACATGGAATTCATATAAAACGGAATAATCAACAGTGTTATAGGGGGGTCGACTTGTATATGCTACAATCGAGATTGCTTTTTTCCACCCGTGGACCTTCGGGTACCGTAAGACTCGACGTCATCGATAAACCTATCTTTTGGCACGTTTAACCGTGAATTCGATTACGTAACATTTTGTTTCGATCGTTTTGTTGAACAGGTGGACCGGGTCCGAGGAAGANATTTTACAAATACGTGAGCCGTTTACAGCCCGGCACACGTATTTGTAAAATCTAAGTGACTCGTACAACATGGAATTCATATAAAACGGAATAATCAACAGTGTTATAGGGGGGGTCGACTGTACTTTTAATAAAACTCAACCCTACTCTAAAAATTAAACTTTTTGGCATACTATAGTTATGTATTAATAATATAAAACGTTTTTTAAAACAAAATTTTAAAAAACAATTTTATTTATTGTGATTAATAATATAAATGCTATTTTTAAAATAAAATGTCAATAGCCAGGAAAATTACGCAACTCGTTACTAGATTTTTGTATAAGACACATTTATCATTATTTATCAATCGACCCTCGTGTATAATACCACAGAGATTCTTCGGGAAAGTTTTATTTCCACATCAATCCATTTATTACGCCTTTACTACTAGAAAAATACTAAAACATTCCTTTTTATTTTTTTATCATATTATGATTATGGTAATTCGCCGCATAACGTGCTTGCATTTTTCAAGAAAATTTGCTCATCGCAGGTATATTTATATTCGCGAGTTAGCTTCGTCAAGACTTAAGAATGTATGGATTAAGATACGTCTGCGTACCTTAACCTTAAATACTCGAAGACAACTTGACGACTCGACGAGCGAGGGTGGACACGAGGACACGAAACCTCAGTATACCTAATTCGCGACACCGTGACGCGGTGGAGGCGAGAATCGAAACGGAAAGAAGGACGTGTGGTCGGAACGCGTCACGTATTCCGGAAGGAGTAACGAAAAAAGGCACTCACCCGTCGACCAGTACTCGACGACACTCGTGTGTCCACAGACGAAGTAGAACTCCGCCGTCGGTCACCACCCGCGACCGGGCTTCAACCATTCCCTTCCACACTCGACTAAGGTCTCCCGGTTCCAAAGAGCGGAAAAAATAGCCGGGAACTGGAGCGATTCGATCCTGTTAGCCGCGGAAGAAAAAGATTAAGCGCCGTCCTCTCGAAAGAACCCGAATTCTCGAAACGAAACCCACCTTCATTTCCCTCCAGAGTGCTCGCGTTGGAGATACCAGTCGTTCCGCCAACTGTCGAACCTCCGAAGAGAAGCCATTCCCGGAATTGAAGTGGGAATGCGCCACTGCACCTGCGGAAAAATTCCAAAAGTCGCAAAGAGTTAGTCGACGAACGACGCTCCTCCTCAAGTCTGAAAAAGACGTCTTGGATGAAAATCCTGATCCGAAACCATCCTCTTCCCGTAGATGGACGAAACGGCCGAAAATTCAAAACTGTTTCTTCCGTTTGCGGAAATATTTTAATACGAAAAACGGATTTTTTGCGGTATTAGAAAAAAAAATTAAGGGAATAAACTCTTTTCCATCAGATTCTAGCGGAACGGCAGAGTTCTTCGCCCGAGGAAACAGCTCGGTCGGGTTATCAGCCAGGAAATCTCATTCTTCTTAGAGGGACAAACGGGGCGTCGGTAAAAAAAAAATAGAAAATGCGAAGACTTACCGAAAACGCGATCCAGGCAGTCGTCGGTGGGTTGAACACAATCGAAGAGGAGGAAGTGTCTCAGCAGTCGAGGCGTCACGCCACAGCTTCGTGAAGCGGCCAAGAATCCCACGTCGACTAATCGGAGGAAGTCTCCCGGACGATCTAGACTATAGAAGCCTCCGGATTCGATCGTCTGTCGAAGAATCTCGTTGACAGCCTGTCGACGTGTCCTTTTGTCTTTACTCGGAATATTCTGCTACCGCGAGGTTCGCGAATAAGAGAGATTTCGCGCTTTCGTGAAAACTTGGGACGGAACCCCTAACGAAAGTTTTCGGACAGGAGACAAATGTACAATTTTCTCAACTTGACGATCAAAAGATATAACGGTAAAGTTATATCAGGCATTAAAGATGAAATTTAGACATTTTGAAATATCAAGCACGTCTCGCTACCATTGCTGCAAACTTTCAATCCCGTAAGCGTAGAATGACTTGGTTAATTTAACGAAAATTTCATCGTTTTTACATGGGTATAATCATTTAATTGTATATTGGCAATACGATTCTGCAGGGTGCAAAATATATCTTAATCAGTCGGCGCAAAATCCAGGCGGTAAGGTGGATGAACCAGAACCTCTCAGCCCAGACTGGCCAACTTTCCTAGGTCATCTTAGCTCTGTGTACTATCGCGTTGGACTATGCCAATTTTTGGAGTGTGTGCTAACTCTGATAGTCACCATGGATTATCACCTGTCAGTTGCAGGAGAACGTCATCATCAAAGATGACGGGGTTCACATTGAAGCGCGGAAACTCCATCATAGAGTTTCTCGAGTTTCATTGAGACAAATTGTAGCGTATATAATTGTTAACTGTGTCCCCACCGATTGTCTTTCAGATGAGATCGTGAGCATTTGTTTGTGTTGTGATTGCTTTTGAAAGTGACAGAGAAACAGCGAGTGAATGTGTTCTGTCGATAGTTTC